TATTATTATTATTGTTATTATTATTGTTATTATTATTGTTGTTGTTATTGTTATTACTATTATTATTGGTTCATAGGCGCAAAAACATTTAATATAAACATCAATCGGTCGTCTCTCGTCAAAAATGACATGTAATTTAATTACAAAATACATCGCACCCATCAGCCTTCATACTCTTTTGTTAAATAGCTGCCCCGTTTATGATTGGCGCTCCAAAACAACATTAAAGGTTTCTTTTTCTCTTCTTACCCCCCTTCCCTCCCCCTTCTCTCTTTTACCATTTCGCTTCAATACATCTTATTCATTCATACATAAATTCATTCATTCACACACTCACTTATCCTTCTCAGTTTCCTATGTTTTCCAAATGAAAAATTTCAAGGGGAAAAAAATCTTAATTTGTAGAGACATCTTAAAAAGTCGCTTGTATATAATACAACTAATACACAACAGAAATTATAATGTCAAAAAAAAAAAAAGAAAAATTTCTTGATTTTAAAGTGTTTTTAAGCTGATTTATATGAAGTTTTCTACAGCTAACTTTAAGAATTATTGCATAATAAATTGACAATAAAGCGAGTGAATAGAGGGTATAGCAAAACGGATTAACACATTTTTGGATAAACAAACAATGTACAGTTGGAAGAAGACTGATAAGACAGAGAAAAAAACTGCTTGAAAAGAGCATCAAACATATCGTTAGCAGTGAAAATAACAACCAATATAAAGTGTGCAACAAAGAATGAGGTTTAGAGCAGTTAAAAATATCGGCGGCATTATCATAGATGGAAATGCATGTGCCAGATGTGCATGAAAAGCCTGTGAATGTATCTCTCTTTATATGCACATAGATTTGGCGGTTGTTGTGTATATGCGTATCTGTGTATCTATTTGTTGGAGGCGATATTCAGTCAATTAGTGCGGCATTTTTTTGGACGACGAGGTTTCAGCAACAACGGCAGCAACAACGACAAACGACAACAACGATTCGTAAAGCAAAAAGGCAGCTACAGCACCAAAAATGTGTGAAATGCGAGCCGTTTTGATGGCAGCAATCAAATAGATTCAGAAAAGAAATTGCTTTTTTTCTTTTTTTCTCTGCTCCTCCTCGTTTTTATTGCTCTCTACTGCATCATCTCAACTGTTTCTCTTTTCTTTTTTCCTCTATTGCTCCGACGAAATCACCACTGCCGTGGCGGCGCCGGCAAAACTGCTTTCTGGTTGGATATTGGAACCGTTTTACAGCCATTAAAAATTACAGTAATCAAACTGCGGACCTATTTTACAAACACAGGAAATAAACGGGAAACAAAAGAGAGCAAGGAAAAAAAAAATCCCCACTCATTCCATCTTTTAAATAAATCTTTGTTTTTTTTGGTTTTTCAAGTACATCAAGTTTAAAACAAGCTAACAATCTGGTTAAACTGAGGGTAGATCAATTCACAGAGAACACTTACTCTGCTTGACCTGAACGGACACTGTGCACCTAAACTGCTGAGTATCTTTAGGTCATTAACTGCCTTAAAACTAAGACGACCTAAATTAACCTTCATAAAAACTTCCTATTGCCCTTTTCCTCTTCATTGCCGTTCCTGGTTGTTTGTCTATTCTAACTGCTCCTGTGGCTTGTTCCACTTCACAGATTACCAAAGAAAAAAAAACCCTGTCGCAGAACAGAAGAAGAAGAAACTGACAAATTGGTTCTGCTTCTATACATTTGAAGTGCATAGATAACTACCTTCATAGAGCCTTTTTATTTATTTTTTCCTAAATTCTCTTTTCACCGCTCTTGTTGTTAATTTCATCATTAACTTCAAGCAGAAATATTAAATTTTTTTTGCTTGAATATATTTTTAAGATCTTTTTTTTTTTCGTTTTTTAAGAGATGATGTTAAGAGGAATGACGAAAAAATGATGAAGACTCTGCTGATGATGTTTTGATGAACATTTCTGACTTGATTCAAAAGTAAAATAATGTTTAAGATGAAACTGAAAAAAAAAAGACCCCTTCTTGTGTTCTCATCTCCACCTCTTATCCACCCTCTCTTCCATCTACAAGAACCGTAAAAATGGCATCGAAAATCAAGTTTTTTTCATATTTCGGTATCATTAACGTCATCATAACACAATTCGCTATTGTAAAGTAATCCGAAAAGGGCACTTGACTTCAGCAGAAGTTTTCTTCTTTTTCATCATTTTTCCTTTTTTTTATTGGGAAAGTTAAATGGCAATGAATTATTGGTTGAAAAATTAAAAGTTTATGATCTTACTAGTGAAGGCTGTATGAACTGGTGAATGCTAGACCGATGGAGAGTTTTGATTTACTCTGGTAAGAAAAGAAAAATAAGAAAGAGTTTTGCTCAAGGTCTCTTCAAAACTTGTTCTTAAGCAGCTTCTAACAACTTTAAAGACGCTCAAACTTTACTCAACAATA